GCCGTGTCCTCGTTGCAGCCACTGCAGTGGTGGCACTTCGGCGTCGGCTCCCTCCGGGCGACGAGGTGCAGGTAGCGACCGAAACAGCCGTGTCCCGTGAGCACCTGCGTCGCTCGGAAGGTGAGACGTCCTCGGTCGCGATTCACCCAGTCCGAGAGGACCGGGCGGATCGCCTCGACGGTCCGTCGCCCGTAGGCGGGGTCCGCCAGGCGGCGAGACCACGCCTCGAGCACGGAACGCCGAGATTGAAGCTTCCGCGCTCGAACTTCCGCCGCGCCAGGACGCGGCTCCCCCCTGGAGCGGAGATCGCATCGCCACGCGTAATCCGCAGCGAGCGCCTCCGCTTCCAGGTCCCAGGGAGGCGTCCCAGCTAGCACGCACGCCGCCTCGAACGAGACGGTGCGGTATCCACGAACCGCCCTGACCGCAATCGCGCGCTGTGGACGTCGCAACGCCGCAACGTTGTCGCGGGTCAGGGCGTGGCACCACACGGGAGCCCCGTACAGTGCCATCGACCGAAATCGAAATCAGCTGAGTCAGTTTTTGATAGACGTTGTTCGGTAGGGGCACTTCATTCATTTTCGAAATGATGTTGATGAGAGTGGACAAGAGAAGTTCTATTAGATTTTCTTGTTAAGGGGTTGGGGAATAACAGAGCGCATCCATTGGGGGTGGTAGAGGCTGGAGTATCTACAATACGACGGTGGGCTTCTCTACTGTAGCCTGGGCTTAGGGCAGCAGAATAAGGGTGTCGGGCTATAGTAACAGTCTTCTTATAAGAAGAGGGTTGAGAATTGGAATGGAGTGGCTGAGAGGGGTCTGTGTTAATTGTTGGAGGATACGTGGACGGAAATGATAGAGTAATTCGGGCAGTATCTGCAAATAATCTTCTCGCCTGAAGGAACCTAGCCGATGCTTTTAAATATGAGATGATTTCCTATGACGTAACTAATTTGATTGATTTTTGTCGACTGTGCTCTGGGCAGGATGTGTCAGTGGGGGCCGGAACAGAACAGGCATAGTGGGGATGACTTCGAGCAGGTAATTCCTTCGTGGGCTTGGGAGCAAATAAAGCTGCAAGGGGCGGATCGGCACTGCGTTGAAATATGGCCCAATCGGCAGCACTTGTTGCACTGAATAATGGGGAGGACATATACCTCAACAGGGAACAAAGTAAAAAAGCAGGAAATACGATTTGGAAGCTTTTGACCAGAGAAGGTTAAAAGCAGATTACAGATTGGGTAGGTATCCAAGTAGGGATATTGTTTTCTATCTTCTTCCTATTCAAGCGGCGTGCTTTAATGACTGCACTGCAGCCAGCAGGAACTTCTACCGATTGGACCAGCTCCTTTAAAGTCCATTCTACTAGAACATCACGCACGATTCCCATTCGTGTAACATTATAAGGTGGGATGTTCGCTTCAAATTTAGCCGGCTGAAGTGCTGGGTGTTCTAAAAAAGCGTTAGCCGCAACAGCGGATTTTAACTCCACTGAAACCTTGTTGCGGCCAATGCATTTCACACCATCCTGGATTACATTCTTTATGTTGTTTCTAAATAGAAAGTGTCCAAATTTGATGGGTTTTAAGGTGGGGCCAGCAGACACATCTGTTACCGTCTTACTAACGTGGACTAGAAAAGGGGCAATGTCATCAGAGTAACGGGTCTTACGTTCTACAAAATCGGGATGTGTGTAAGTAGACTGAATCGACGGCGAAGGTTGTGAAAGATTGGTAATAGTTTTTTAGGGGGAATGTTTTCCTCAAACTGTGGTGGTCGTTTTCTGGAATTGGGTTGATCAATATCCATCTCAAAAGAAAAGTTTTGCGAGTGGGGCGCACGTTGTCCTTTATAACCTTCCCGGGATCGTGCGGATCATCCATGATTCTTACCTATTAATAATAGAACAAATACAATATATTAAAACTTACACTCACGGCACAACAGGTATACCTATGTGGCATACACGGCACAACTAACACCAACGCGAATCAGTAGCCCAAGTCAACAGGAAATAGACGAATATTAACAAGAAAAACCCGGAAAACTTCGAAAACACTTGTGTTCACACTCGACGTCACCCGAAGCCTTATTTTTCTTAAAAACTTGTTGCTGTGGTGTGGCAGTATTTTAAATCCATAATTGGATTTACTTGTACAGTTAAATCTCTCATTGATTATTATCAATGTGTATAGTACCATCATATATATATATATATATATATATATATATAGATAATAGTATAAATATTATGCTTATGACTTGCGAAAACTGAAGAATATCCTATACTGGATTTACGTTCAGTCCTCGGTGCATTCTAGGCCATAGATAATACAGACAAATTAGTTATTCTAGGCAATTTATATTAGAGTTTTATTTTATTTATTTATTTAGTTTTCTTACAAATTAACAGTATAACCAAAACATTTGTAAGGTATTAATAATATTAGCTTAAGTAATTTCTATCAACAGCTATAAATCCATTAACATATTGATTACCTTGTAGGTCAACTTTACCCTACAAGGCGCACTGAAGTAATTATGTCAATTTCTGTCTTCAATCTTCTTACTAAGGCGCCAGAATATATGGTAGACTCTNTTTAGTTTTCTTACAAATTAACAGTATAACCAAAACATTTGTAAGGTATTAATAATATTAGCTTAAGTAATTTCTATCAACAGCTATAAATCCATTAACATATTGATTACCTTGTAGGTCAACTTTACCCTACAAGGCGCACTGAAGTAATTATGTCAATTTCTGTCTTCAATCTTCTTACTAAGGCGCCAGAATATATGGTAGACTTTAGGATAGACAAATCTGAAGATTTTGAGAATTAATCTATTTCTAAGAGACCTAATAAATGTCTAAAATATACACTAAAAACAAAAGAAGACAAAGTTATGTAATCTAGGCACTCAATAACAGAAATCGACATCATTATTTCAGTGCGACACGTAGGGCACCAATGGCCCACTCACATCGCAGTCAACGTGTTAGTAAAACTGCATGGTTCTGGTATAATAAAACTTTGCAGTGATTGTGTAATATTTTGTATAACTTGTTTTTTTTTGTCTGTGGACCCTCGCACCTAGGGGGCGCCGGCTTATTTGAGACTGGAACGGGGGGGCCAAGGGATGGAATATAGAGCTATATCAACTAAATCATTCACCTGCGCTCTCGCCCTAGCGGATTGGTAATCTCCCCGAGGTCAAAGCCCGGGCAAGGTAAGGACGCCCAGCCGACGGAGCCTTCGAGGCGAATCGAAGGCTCTGAAACGTCGGCCGTCTCGGTACGGCAGCTCAGGCGTCCAGGCGATGCTGCTAGTGTCCCGGGATACCCCGCTGGGTCAGAACCAGCCTACCAGGTCGGGGCGCGATATATCGCCAACCGGCTACTCTTATAATGATTTTACTCCTGGACGGCGCGCTAGAGTGCTGGTGGCGCGGCCTCTGCCCTCTGAGGTCGCTCCGTGACCTGTGTCAGTTCCGCCTTAGGCCTGCCACCTACAAGGGCCGGCACGTACGCTCGTACTGTCTCTTCCGCCATCCGGCTGGACGGCAACGCATTAGTGCGAAGAGAGTAGAACCCTCCTTCTCTCGTTCCGCCGCCTCCTGCGTGATGGTGAACTCGCAGAAGTCGAGCGTCATCTTTCAGGACGAGCTGCTGCCGGTTATCATAACTACTTACGACACATTTTCTCGCCAAGTCGGGACCCTCACTGACGTTCGTCAGAAGCTGACTCAACGAGCCGGCCGTCGCCATCAGCCGAGGGTTCAACTTTTTGAATAATTTTGAAATGAGCGTGGAAGCTAATAATCAAGCTAATAACCAAAATCTCGGCTCGAACGCCTCCGCCACGAGGTATGCACGTGACGGCCGCGCTCGCCGAGGTCCGTGAATCAACAGTTAAAATAGCACTTTTAAAATTAACTGTATTTACTCGAAAAAAAATATATTCAGAATTCGCCACACTAAATTAATATTGACGAATGCAAAGAAGTGTATTTAATGAAAATAAGATATTAATTAATAAACACAGATGTATTTGTTTACACAATAGTGTATGTTTAATAAAGAAATTATTAACTAAATTTCAGAAAAATAAGACTGACTGAATCCCGCAGGCAGGTAAAATTTTTCTATCTTCCAAGCGTCGGGGGTCCCGATCAGGTGGTGTGGTCGATGGCACTTTACGGCGCGCCCGTTTGGTGCCAGGCCCTGACCCGCCTGAACGGCACCGGGCTGCGACGTCCACAGCGCGCGATCGCGGTCAGGGCCATCCGATACCGCACCGCGTCCTTCGAGGCGGCGTGCTTGCTCGCCGGGGCGCCACCCTGGGACCTGGAGGCGGAGGCGCTCGCTGCCGATTACAGGTGGCGTAGCGACCTCCGCTCTAGGGGGGAAGGGCGCCCCGGCGACGGTGTAGTTCGAGCGCGGAGGCGTGGTATCGCCGCTTGGCAGACCCGTCGGCCGGCCTCCGTACCGTCGAGGCGGTCCGCCCGGTTCTCGCGGACTGGGTGGGCCGCGACCGCGGATGCCTCTCCTTCCGACTGGCGCAGATGTTGACCGGCCATGGCTGTTTTGGCCGGTACCTCTTCAAGATAGCCGGAAGGGAACCGACGGCGCAATGCCACCACTGCGCGGACCGCGACGAGGAAGACACAGCGGAACATACACTGGGGCGTTGCTCTGGATTCGACGAGCAACGCGCCGCCCTCGTCGCGGTCATAGGAGAGGACCTCTCGCTGCCGCGCGTCGTGGCTACGATGCTCGGCAGCAACGCGTCCTGGAAGGCGATGCTCGACTTTTGCGAGTCCACCGTCTCGCAGAAGGAGGCGGCGGAGCGAGAGAGGGAGAGCTCTTCCCTTTCAAGTAATCCTTCCCTTCCTTATAAATAAATAATACTAGCGAACCCGGCGAACTTTGTTCCGCCTTAGAGGCAATAAATGAGCAGACTTTTAATCAAGGTCAATTTTTTATTTGGATAATTAATGTAACTTAAAAAAGCAAGTATTTTAATGATTCTTTATTGGCCATGTATTTTAGTTATTATTATTATATTTTCTTGTTCTTCTTCAGTCCTTTCACTCGCAAAGTTTCGAATCCTAGTTGCATTACGGTTTCGTCGGGAAAGATTTGATCGTGTTGGTCGCGGCATGGCTTTCTTAATGATTGCCTATCTCGGCACAATAAGCTAATCGAAACTCGAAATAAACACATCAACCGGTCAACTTCAAAATTCTACTATAATTAACATAAACTACATTACGTTTAGCTGTCAGTTGCGTTTTGTTAGTCCATATCTGTTGCGTTTTGTTATACCACATTTTATGTCACATCCCACAGAAACGTGATAAAAAGTATCCTATGTCCTTCTCCTGATTCTAAGTTACCTCCCCACCAATTTTCAGCCAAATCAGTTCAGCCGTTCTTGAGTTATAAATAGTGTAACTAACACGACTTTCTTTTATATATATAGATATCTAAAATATACAAAGCGGTATTTTATACAAGAGTAACATTTTAAACAAAAGTAATGTTTTAAATTATCACTAAAAATATTATTACGTAAAACCTAAGGACTCATTTGGTAATCATCAAATACCGGCAACAGCTTCTTTTTAAGCAAATGTTTTTTATTCCTGGAGGTATTTGCGTTGAAGTTTCACTTCTTAAACGTGCACCAAGTTGCACGCGCAACAGTTTTTTTTTGTATATTATACCTACGTCAACGAATAACTAAAACAAATAGATATATAATATGTATACCATATATATAAGTGATTTGTATTGCGTAGTTCTTAAACTTACCTGCTATTACTTCAAGCATGCAACGTCGACCCAACTTAATGCGGAACAAAGGCAAGGAGAAGAATAAACAAATATTAAACTTTTCTATTTAATTAAGCTATTAATTATGCTTAATAATTTATTAAGCATTGCTGTTTGATCTGATCTACTTCCCATTAGCTACCAGTAACTTATATTAGCTGTTATATTTATTTACGTTCTAAATATAACATTATTTCGTAAATCAGTGCCAACCAAAAAGTGTTCAAACTAGAAAACAAAGCTGTTCGAACAATGATGCTTGTAATCAAATATTTTTGATTCGATTAACAACCGTATCTATTCCAGGATGAGTGGCAAATTTCTTTGAAAGGGCTGGTTTTAGGAAATAGGATTCCGATTAGAAAATAATAGCTGCATCACATAGCCCGTTCATTGATGACGATTCGACACGAAATAACTGCATTATTTCATAAATATCATTCTATATAATTATATCGACGCTGATATCGGAGGGCGTTTCCTAAGGAAATTTCAAAATCGTAAATTCATTGCTGTCCAATTATGTTCAAGTAGCTTAAATTTATCAAATAAAATTTCAATTTGGAATCCCGAGATCAAATTGCACATACAACATTTTTAACGTCAGAAAAAACTGGACACTAGAATTAGGAAAATCATTTATTTGTAAACATTCTAATTTACATTAATATTATTCACTTATGAATCATATTAAGCCGTGATCAGCTTTGATGATATCAGCTCCTTTATCAGCAATCATGATGGTAGGAGCATTTGTATTCCCACCGACTATCTTCGGCATCGAACTGGCATCAATGACTCTCAGTTTCTTCACACCATGTACTCTCAGTTTGTAATCAATTACCCCAACTCCTTCAGGACCCATAGCGCAAGTAGCGACAGGATGCCAGAGAGTTGTAACTACATTCAAAGCAAAGCACTTCCAATATTTTCTGGTATTAAACTTGTGATGTTTGCATTGTTTTACATTTAGGTTCAGAGGTTGCGCGTGAGTTTTTCTCATGTGTTCTGTATCGAGCACAGTCAAGAAGTCTTCTATGTATTTTGCATGATTTTCTAAATCTTCATCTTGAGAGTAATAGCCTGTGTAAATTAAGGGAGGTTCTTCAGGGTTTTTGCTTTTAAGAACAACTTTACCAGTTGATTTTGGATACAAAAGGACTACAAGAGCTA